ATTTGAAACAATTATCTTAAAGATTGAATTGTGACAGCTGTCATATCAGCATGCATTTATAAAAAAACTGATCAAAACTGGTAAATTTTTGTGTAGCCATTTTAATACTGAAGATGGAAGATAATATGCAACATTTTCAGCCTTTTTTGCTTTAATAGTTCAAGAAAGGTAAAAACGCAACTGAAACACACAACAGAAGATTTGTGCAGTGCATGGAAAAGGTGTTGTGACTGATCAGACATGTCAAAAGTGGTTTGTGAAGTTTCATGCTGGAGATTTCTCACTGGACAATGATCCACAATCTGTAGACCATTTGAAGTTGGTAGTGATGAATTTGAGACATTAATTGAGAATGGTCACTGTTCTGCCACATGGGGGATAGCTGAAATACTCAAAATATCCAAGTCAATAATTTTTTAGTGAAAATGAAAAATGTGTCAAAAATGTGTGTAAAATATTGTACTGAAAAAACTAAACAGACTTTTAGGGTAACCCAGTATTTAAGTCTTATAAGTTATTTTTCTGGATAAGTTAGTATATCAGGTGTTTCAAGAGCTTGCTGGGGGTGGGTGAGAAAAGTCAAAGCTGTACATGCTCTGCAAAGGCAGGTCTGAGAGGAGGGGTGGAGCTGTGTGAATTTCCCCGAGGGGCTGGGGGACTATTGTGGAATATTTAACATGGTAGCAGTTTGAAGGAGGTTTATGTTAACAATTAGTGTTTAAATTGTGATGTTAAAATATGTAGAATACTGTTAGAACTGACTTGAGCAGAGTAGTTAGCATTCTTTATCCGTGAAGTTCATTTCATCTGTGATTTCTAACTTTAAGCTTAATATTTCATGAATTTCTTCCTTTTAATTCTTGCCAATCAGAAACATCACTGAACCAATGTGAGACCACTGCACTCTTCCAGTTGTGTCCTGTATTCTATTGCATTTGGGGCATCATTTTTCCTGACTCTTCAGTGTGGGGATTTTTTCTCTATAGCTGCTGTAGCTGTTTGGTCACACTTGACTTCATACTTTAAGCTTGATATGGCAGGTTTATTTTCTTTGGCTTGTGAGAATACCTTTTTCCATTTTTTTGTTTCTGGAAAAAATGGAGTTCCCTTGCCAAAGCACATTTTGTAATTAACATATTTCTTCTCAACATCTGGGGTTGCTCTCTTAAACTTGATTTGTAGGAAACATCTGGCAATTCTTCATACCTTTGTTATGAAGGATTTTTAAATCAGTACTAGATCAGCTAGGTTCTTCAGTTCAGCCACCTTCATATGTAGGGTTGTTCAGAGAAATCTGTCCTTTAGACATGCTTTGTACAAAGTTAAAATTAGCCCATTGGCTTGCCCCTGGTATAGAGTTTTATTACTTTATACTCTGTAGTTTTGAAATATAAATCTGGGTTAGGATTAAAAAAAATACAAACCAGCTTGTTATTGAATGCTTTTTTCTAAGAAATGTCCTGGCAGCTCCTGAATTTTGCCCCCTAACCTGTATGGCCATCTGGGCAAGCTTTCAAATAAAGATATGCTGATAAGCTTAATTTTCCTCGGCATTGCTGCATACTCTTACGTCCGGAAGCAGGGATTTCCTTGATTTTTCTTTGTGTGGAAACTTCCTGGTAATCTCATTAAAGATCTAAATTCCAAAATTTAAATTCCATAACCTTCCTAAGGTTATGTGAACCCAGCTGAGGGGCATCTCGATTTTCTTCTGTATCAGCCTTCTCCTTCTTATCTCAGTCTCCAGTCCTTCAAGGGCATTTGTGATGTGAGGGAAGGTCCGGCCTAGTAGGGATTATGGGAGAAGCTCTGGACTGTGGAACTTGAGCTGGAGACCAGAGTTCTTGTCCCATTCTGTTACTAGCCAGCTAGATACCTGTCAGCTTCCCTCACCTCATCTGTGAGTATCATGTCAAACTCTGATCTTGAAGCATCCTCTGATCTTTTCATGACTTGCTCTGTGGCTGTGAACTGAGTAGAGATGACAGCTGGCCAGTCAGCCACTCAGGAAACCACCAGTGACACAGCGAGCATTAGGATCAGACGTATAGTTATAACTTGATCATAAAGGTAAATGCAAATCTTCATGTCACCCTTGATACAGTGTGAAACGTGAGTCCTGCTACTGGGTTCTGGACAGAAGAACAAGCAGTATCTTACCTTTTCCCCATTGCCCTGTTTAGACCAGGAAGCGTGTGCAGTAGAAACATGGTACCTGTTGGAAGTATGAAGACTCCTCCACTGAGTGTCCTCTGGGCCAATCACTTTTCCTTGTGAGTTCTTACAGCAGGTGGACAGTATTGGTGGCTGTGTGTGCATCTTCCTGACTTCTGGGAGAGGGTCCAACAGTAACAAGAGACCTCTGGAGTGTCGTCTGGGAGCACCAGCATGTGCTAGAGAAATAACAGTCTAGCCACCTAGAGCATAATGGGAGCAGAAATCATTTTTCACAAGTCGTTTTTAAAAATAAATGTTTTAAATTATGAAAGATGAAAAAGCAAACCAATAAAAATATGCTTAATGCAGAAAACTTAGAAAACACAGAAAAGCAAAAAAAAAATGCAGTTGTTAAAGGTAACCAAACATTAGTGTACATTCTTTTAATATATTTTCTATGCCTATGCATATTTTTACCTTAGAATGATGTTCTGCTGCTTTCTTCACCTAATGACATGTTTTCTATTTCCATGTAAATAAAACATTTTTCATGTGATTTTTAAATGGTGGCATAGCTACTTACTATAACAAATATCTCTTTATTAGAAGCCCTGAGTTTGTAAAGTCCCCCATTCTTAGCAATTTCTAGGACTTGTGAAAAGTATAGCACAAAATCCTAGTTTCTAGGGAGTTCAGGGATTGTCCCTCAGGTCTTTCTTGAATTTAAAAGCAGGTCTCAATTCCCAAAGAAATAACCCTCCTGTATTATTTTGGCTACACACAGAAAAGCAACTGATCTAGTAAATGAGTGTGAATTGGGTATGAAGGAAACAAAGTAAGAATTTGGGGTGCTGACACCGTCTGAGGCTAGTGGAGTGAGTTCTTGATATTCCCCACCCTCCTGCCCCACTGCAGGGAGCACTGCACGCACATTGGTTTCATTGGTGCTTTTCTATGAGAATGATGGGTTAAGACTTTTGGAAGTTAACTACATCCATCATGGTTAGAATTACATAAATGCTTTCATTTTTTATGTGCCCAAATCCTCCTCCTGCAAAAAAACATAACTTAGCAGTACATTTATTATTTAATTCCTTTATTACAAAATCCTTGTTGAGCAGGAAACCTCCTTAATAGACTTATTTTCATTGGGAAATTTCTGGCCTAACCTTACCTAGTTCAAATTGAGGCAAATATGAGAAATTTCCTCTTTGCTTATCTTTCTCCTTCCTTGAAAACACAATGCCTTTAGCTCTGAGACTGTACTATACTATATATAGTTTTAATAGTTGTCACAGAAGAAGCACCAGATAATTGAAATCGCATGTAAGATTTAATAGCTGTATCTTTTTTTTTTTTTAAAGATTTTATTTATTTATTTTTAGGGAGGGAAGGGAGTGAGAGAGAGAGAGAGAGAGAGAGAGAGAGAGAGAGAGGGAGGGAGGGAGAAACATCAATGTGCGGTTGCTGGGGGTTATGGCCTGCAACCCAGGAATGTACCCTGGCTGGGAATCAAACCTGGGACACTTTGGTTCCCAGCCCGCGCTCAATCCACTGAGCTACGCCAGCCAGGGTAATAGCTGTATCTTTAATCAAGCACCCAGTAGGAGGCCAGGAGCTATAGTATAGTCAGGCATTGGCTGATGTAGGAAAAATTGTCTTACTGCAAAGGCTTGTTGAGGATAAGTCTCTGTGGATAAGTGTTTAGGTGTTGCCTCTGGTATATATATGACCATTCTTGTTTTTCATTTCCTTGGGTGTTTCTATACAAAATTGTTGAAATAATTGAACTCAAAATAGTTTTTATTCTGATGCTGGAAGCCAACGTTAAGATCATTCTGACCTTTCAGTAATTTTGGTCTGTCTTCCCTCCCCTATTTTTCTTTTTTTTTGTTGTTTTTCTTACTGATTCTTTCCCTTATGGAATCATTTTTTTTTAACTGGAGAAACTCTTCTATTATGAAATTCTCAATTGTTATATAACTTACTGACAAGTCTCTAGAGGCCCTTGGAAATTGTTCTAAGGCAGCATTATAAAACCAAATGCCCATAGGGGTAGGAATGTCCAAAAGTGAAGAGCAGCACCCAGTGAGTGTCAGGGAAATGAGAGAGGTGATCACTGGGGACGAACCTCAGGGCCCAGCTGCAGGGTTTGGCAGTATTCCAGTAGATTGTGATCCACACTCCAAATGATCTAATTTCTTAGGAAAAGCTGGAAATAAGGAATTTTTTCTTTGTGGTATATGTTTTAAGTGTAAAAATTATTACACACTGCCTCCAATGGGAAAAAGAGCAACATACGGATCAAACAAAACACACCCATGTCCCAGATTGTGCCCACAAATGATCAATTTGCAGCCTTTGTGCTGAAGGATAAGTTTTGCTTTTTCAGAAAATAACATTCTTAATGAAGCAGAGTGTAGGAGTACTAATGCAGCTTAAGGATGGGATTTTTTAAAGCACCTTAAACAAAGAAATACCACTCGCTTAACTTTAGAGTTTTGATGAGTTGGTTGTAGCACAGAACTCTTTAATTGCATGTTATAACTTTGTCCTGCTGTTTTGTAGTATCCCGTGTGCAGAGCAGACTTTAAAAAGAAAATGGAGTTTTAGTGTAATAGATTTCTAGCCAAATGTCTTAATTTTAGTGTATAACTTTCTCAAATTTCTAAATAACAGCATTCTCAACTGAACCTGAGAAGACTCTATAAACACAATAACTGTTGGATTTTACCATAATATTTGAATGTATTAACAATTTAAGGTAAAAAAATTGAAAATTAATCTCAGCTTCCCTTAGTTATCAGATGGATGTTCATGTATTTTCTTTTTCTTTTTTAAAGATTTGAACATGGAATTCAATCCTTCAGACCATCCTCGGGCCAGCACAATATTCCTCAGTAAATCTCAGACGGACGGTAGGTTACAAATTTAAGTTTGTTTTTGTTTTGTTTTGCATTTAAAAAAAAAGAAGGCCCATGTTGGTAACTAGCCTAAGTCTAGAAACTAGATGTGATTCTCAAGATAAAAATAGAATCCCCTGAAATGACCCACAGGTACATTGTTTGGTGGTTCTCTTGGGGTTTCTGTCTTTTGTATTGTTATATTTTTAGACTTTTCTATTAGAGCAACTATCTTCATTTTGCCAATGAGCTATCGTGTGTTCTATATCAGTAATTTCTATCCTGAGAGTCAGAAATTTTTCTTTAAGAATTGTTATGTGCATAAATTCTCTAAAGATCAGAAGTATTTGGGTTTATTTATTTTTTTTTAGACAGAATGTAAAAGCAAAATATGTTTTTGTCCCAGGTGTGTGTGAAATTTCTCCTGGTATTTTTTCTTTTCAGTACCAACTTATCTCTCTATTCCCTGACCCTTGTCTATAAAGATGAGATAAAACTTATGCAGTACAGTGGACATAAACCTTCTCATTTGGATTCCCATAGAAAAGAGGAGCAGGAAAAGTGTGTTAAATAATGACGTTGTGACCATGATATTATATTACAGTGCTGGAGTCCTATGTGAGTCAATGCCCGACTCTTGGCAGATTGCTAAGCTCTAATTTAGAGAAGACGCTGAGTTGACTAGAAACTAATTTAACGTATTTAGGATGGTAAGTTCATTCATTATAAGAACTGATAACTCCTCAATAATGATTAGGTAGCAATTTTGACATGGTTTAATGCCAGTATAATATTGGTGATCTTAAGCAGACCACTGAGCAAATTAGCTGCATTTATTTAAAAAAATCAGTGTTTCCAAGAATAGGAATAAATCATTGTAGGCTTTACATACTTGTGAAGTTTTCAGTGTATTAGGTAAAAATAAAACATTTTTTCTTGGCCTAGTGAAGTGGGAAGCCATTGGAAAAGGGGTAGAATATTGCAAGGCAAGGAAGGTAACAGTGGGGATGAGGGTTAGGGACAATGAAAAATGAGAATCAAAAAAATTTTTTGCACTTAGTGATAGTGCTGTGAAAACAAGTTTCCAGATTGGCATACTTCTGGGTTTGGTTTTGTTTGCTTCCAGTGAATTCAGGGTACAGACTAACAACATTCTGAAAGGTTTCTAACTAGATGTACATGGAATTGCAGTAGAGCCTGTAAGTCGATGACACATACTTTGGTCATCATGATACAAGAAAATTTAACAATTGTCTAGCCTAACAGGATTGCTCTAGAAGTAGTTAGGGAAGCACATATCTTTCCCCTTCCCCCTACTGCAGATTTTCATAACTCCTTTTTCTTCTGGAACACAGGGTATTAGTTCCCCTGGCCCTTCTGTTTATTTTTTCAATTGCTCCTTCAATGTTAGCATGTAAACCTAATGGAGTCTCACAGGTAAAACACAGAAAAATAACCAATACCCTCTCCCTGAGGTGTTCCTCTCTACCCCTATTCAGTGAAAGCTTCTCTACCATCTCTACCTTTTCTCTTTCCATCCAGTCATCCATGGGCATCTTCCCTTTACCACCACCATTCTGTGGATGGTATGTGGTAAGGTTGCCTGAAGACCTTTTGCTTTCATTAGCTCTTGGTTGTTCATGGGGCTTGCTGCCATTTAACTGTTCCTCCTCTTTTGGCTTATCTTGGTAAAATTGCTGAAAACAAGTCTTTATAATGAACAATTGCTTTATAAATAATTAAAGAAGTAAGTTTTAAAATAGGTAAATGTGATGACTTGAATGAGTTAATTCTTTGGTGAATTGATAACTAGAGAAACGATTATTTGGGAATTTGTCCCAAGAACTCCTTTCCTTTAAGTTCTTTGTCAGATATTTTAATCAACCTTTTTCCATTCTTTCCTTTAATATTAGTATTTTCTACAGTGCTGTGCTTTACTCTCTTATCTTTTGGGTCTGCAGAGTTTCTTGCGACTTCCATACGAACTCTAATGTCTAGCCAGGTATTGGCAGTGTTCAAAACCCATTGACTCAGTTGCCTGCTGGATGTCTTTATAATGAAAGCTGTAGGTTCCTCTAATTTCATGTGTCCCAAACAAGACAATAACTGCAGTTAACCTCCTGCCTGGGCCCTGCAAGGCCTCGAGTGCTGGAGCTGACTCATAATGGCTTATGGAAGCTATTGTGCACATTTATTCCCTGTTACAAATTCAATGACATTATGTTGGGAGTTTGAAATAGCCATTATGGAAGTCTTGACACCATGGAAATTAGCAGATGCCACAAATCAGGGCTTTTCTTTTCTTTTTTTTTTAACGCAGCACACTATTGCATCCAGGTGATCAATGGTGTATTAATTTTTACCTCTTAAATACCCCTTGAATCTGACTACTCTTTTCTATTCCCATGCCGCCACCTTTGTTCAAGTTCATAATTTCTTGCTTGGGTCACTGCAGCAGCCTATGAACTGCCCTTTGACATCCCTTTTACTCCTGTGCCTATGCTGTTGTTGGTTGAAGAGAGTTTTTGCAAATCAGATCTGATTATGTCTCTTCTTAAACTTTTTTTTAAAAAGATTTTATCCATTTATTTTTAGAGAGGGAAGGGAGGGAGAAAGAGAGAGAGAGAGAAACATCAATGTGCAGTTGCTGGCGGCTGTGGCCTGCAACCCAATCATGTGCCCTGGCTGGGTATCAAACCTGTGGTGCTTTGGTTCACAGCCCTCGCTCAATCCACTGAGCTACGCCAGCCAGGGCATCTCTTGGTACTTTTAAGATGCTCTCTTTATCTTTAACCTTTGGCATTTTAATTATGATATGTCTTGGAATGAGGCTTTTTGCCTCCATCCTGGACTTGGATGTCTTATTTTTTCACCAAATTATGAAAGTGTTCTTTCACTATTTTTTCTTTCTTTTTTCCCCTCTTATTTCAGTTTAATTTATTTCTTTTTATTTTTTATTATTTTCTTTTAATTGTCATTCAAATACAGTTTTCTGCCTTTTACTCCCATCCCAACCCACCACCCCTTCCAGCCTTTCCAGCCCTCTCCACCTCCCTCCAGTTTCCACCTCACCCCCTCGTTTTTGTCCATGTGTCCTCTATACTTGTTTCTGCAAACCCTTCCCCTTTACCCCTGAAATTCCCTGCCCTCTCCCCTCTGGTCACTGTCAGCCTGCTCTCTATTTCAGTGTCTTTGGTTATATTTTGCTTGTTTGCTTTGTTGATTAGGTTCCTGTTAAAGGTGAGATCATATGGTATTTGTCTTTCCTAGCCTGGCTTATTTCACTTAGCACAATGCTCTCCATTTCCATCCTTGATGTCACAAAGGGTAGGAGCTCCTTTCTTTCTACTGCATAGAATTCCATTGTGTAAATGTACCATAGTTTTTTTAATCCATTCATTTACTGATGGGCACCTAGGTTGCTTCCAGCACTTGGCTATTATAAATTGTGCTGCTATAAACATTGGGGTGCATAGGTTGTTTTGGGTTGGTGTTTCAGGGTCAAAAGGCAGATCCATTTTTAGTTTTCTGAGAAAATTCCATACTGTTTTCCATAGTGGTTGTACCAGTCTGCAATTCTACTAACAGTACACTAGGGTTCCCTATTCTACACAACCTCTCCAACACTTGTTTGTTGCTTTGTTTATGGTGGCCATTCTCACTGGTGTGAAGTGGTATCTCATTATGGTTTTAATTTCCATCTCTCTGATAGTTAGTGATAGTGAGCATCTTTTTATGTGTCTCTGGATCCTTTGTATGTCCTCTTTGGAGAAGTGTCCAAGTCCTTTGCCCATTTTTTACTTGGGTTGTTTGTCTTCTTAGAGTGGAGTCATATGAGTTCTTTATATATTTTGGAGATTAAATCCTTGTCTGAGGTATCATTGGCAAATATGTTTGCCCATACAGTTGGTTCTCTTTTTATTTTAATACTATTTTCTTTAGCTGTGCAGAAGCATTTTATTTTGATGAGATCCCATTTGTTTATTCTTTCCTTTATGTCCCTTACCCTAGGGGACATATCAGTGAAAATGTTGCTGCGTGAAATACCTGAGATTTTCCTGCCTATGTTCTCCTCTAGGACTTTAATGGTGTCATGGCTTATATTTAAATCTTCTATCTACCTTGGATTTATTTTTGCGTATGGTGTAAGTTGGTGCTCAAGTTTCATTTTTTGCACATAGTTGTCCAGTTCTCCCAACACCATTTGTTGAAGAGGCTATTTTTACTGCATTTTATGTTGCTGCCCCCTTTGTCAAATATTAATTGACTGTAGAGACTTGGGTTTATTTCTGGGTTCTCTGTTCTGTTCTGTTGGTCTATGTGCATGTCTATATGCCAGTACCAGGCTGTTTTATGATTGTGGCCTTGTAATACAGTTTGGTATCAGGTCTTGTGATTCCTCCTACTTTGTTCTTCTTTCTCAAAATTGCAGCAGCTATATGGGGTTGTTTATGGTTCCATGTAAATTTTTGAAGTGTTTGTTGTATGTCTGTGAAATATGTCATTGGTACTTTAATAGGTATTGCATTGAATCTGTAAATTGCTTTGTGTAGTATGGACATTTTGATGATGTTAATTCTTCGAACCCATGAACACGGGGTATGTTTCCATTTGTTTGTGTCTTTGTTGATCTCTTTATTCAGTGTTGTATAGTTTTCTGACTATAGGTCTTTTACCTCCTTTGTTAGGTTTATTCCTAGGTATTTTATTTTTCTTGCTGCTATGTCAAATAGGATTTTTTTCTTGATTTCTGCTTCTGCTGTTTCATTGTTGGTATACAAAAATGCCTTTGATTTCTGGATATTGACTTTATATCCCGCTGTTTTGCCAAATTCATTTATTAGTTCAAGCAGTTTTTTGGTGGAGACTAGGATTTTCTGTGTATACTATCATGTCATCTGCAAACAGTGACAGTTTTGTTTTCTCCTTTCTAATTTGGGTGCCTTTTATTTCCTTTTCTTGTCTGATCACTGTGGCTAAAACTTCCAACACTATGCTGAATAGAGTGGTGAAAG